GATGTCATGTACGCTCTGTGTAATAAAAATAAGCACATTCCCTATCGGTAAGATATCGTTTAATTTAATAAGTAGATATGCAATAATATTAAATTATTTAAGTCTTGGTCTTCTTTCGTCTTCAGGATTTACTCTTGAAGTGAAGTTAAATGGTTACATTTTAGCACACGGATTTTACCGTCATTTTTTTAAACAATCATATTAATATGTATATAATTATAAAAATTTAATTTCACCATTATTCTTATTATTCAGTCTTCGTCTTAATTAACAGTTATTATTTTTAATGAAGAACTCAATTTAATTTCCCTTTGCGTAATTTTTCGAACGGGCCATTTTTTTGACTTGGGATGACTGTAATTTCTAAGCGAAAGTAGGTAGAGAATTTTAATAATAAAAGTTTTAGTTTTATCAGTTTTCGTTTTGCCATGGTAGATTTTAGGCATCAACTTTGGATCATCCTGTGCATGAATATAAATAACGATTTAAAACTTTTACTACAATGTTCTAGTAACATTCGAACAAAACAACAAAAATAATACATAACATGCGTATACTTAATCTGAAGCTAAAACAAAACTGTTGCACGTCATCGACATCCCAAATTAGTAATTTGTATACCACCCAAACAAAAATATATTACTAATATAATTATCACGTAGTATTATATATCGTTATACGTCACGATCACGTTCACTTTATTTACAGCAAAGTACATTAAAGAGGGATAGACATAATCGCCGATATGTTCCGTCAATAAACGAATCTTTACTGTTTGATTCGGTTTGAAGGAATCTCCCATATCTCAATCGTATTTGTTAGCTTTGAGCCTTTTCTTAAAAAAAGTCTTAAAAGTGATCAAAATATTCAAAGTTATTTTACTATTAGCGATTTTTATTGATCTAAAACCAATTCTGTAAACCCTTACCAAAAACAAAAAATTTTTATGACAACTTGGCAACGGGGTCAGGTTGACGGTTGATGACGTGCAACGGTTTTAGTTTTAGATTAAGTTTATATGTATTTATACGCATGCTATGTATTCTTTGTAGGATGATCTACAATTAATTTTTCCTTACTCTTTATAACTCAATAAAATTATAATTACTTTTTGATTTTTTTAATAAGAATATGTGGTTTTATTATATGGTATTGTACTGGATAAAGCGCAGCTTTAGCTTATATATAGGATATAAATGCCGAGTCATTGCCCAAGTTAAATATAAGATTTTTACGGATATGGTTTTAAATTTGATGTTATGGTTAATGTTCGAAGTTATGTTGGTTTCGATTTTTTTTCAATAACTGATATGCGCGGAAGAAGTATTAATGGCAGAAACTGATAGCTAATTCACAATGTATCGAATAATAAATTCAACATGACTAGAAGAAAACAGAAATGTGGGTTTTTTGCATTTTATATACGTAGGTCAATATTTTACTTCGCATTTCTTAATTGCTGATCTCTGACGATGGAGAAATAAATGGGCGAAACCTAGGCAGTCGAAATATACTAAAAAACTATAAGTTTATTATTTGATTCTTTTAATCTAATATTAGTACATTATTTACAGGAATTCTAAGCTCACATATCTTTTACAATCCAGTCTGGGAGGCAACTCGAAAACACTCATGATTGTCAACATATCGCCTTTTGTAGAATGTTTTCGAGAAAGTATACAATCGCTAAGATTTGCAGCCAAAGTAAAAGAGGTAAAGACTGTGATTAAACGAAATAAAAGTAACCTGCAATAACTCTACCAAAACCAAATCATTTTAGTTGCTGTATAT